ATTTGATGAATGAATTCAGATTTGATATCCTATGAATTTTATTTGGTGAACTCATAGATGTTGTTTGTAATTTGTAGGGAAAATGCATAAGTACCCCCCAGCCTATGACCCAAATCTCTGAAACACACCTAACCTTTACTAAGGTCCTATTACCCCCCCCTCCCCGAACTTAGTTTTTAATTAATTTTCTACCCTTTTTCGGCCTATGTGGCACTATCCTTGAAAAAATTATCAACACGCGTTGGGCCCACAAGATAGTGCCACGTAAGCCGAAAAGGGGTAGAAAATTATATATAAAATAAGTTCGGAGGATAATAGGACCTTAGTAAAGGTTAAATGTGTCTCAGAAATTTTGGGCATAGGCTGGGAGGTACTTATGCATTTTCCCTAATTTGTATAAAATTGATTAGGGAGTGATGCAGTAGTGCCTTCTATAGACAAAAGAAAAAGGGTTATTTTATTTTATTTTATTGGTAGTTTTATCTTTGTTCTTTTTATTTTTTTTAGTTTTCTTTTTATTTTGTAACTTGTGTTTTTTTTTATTGGACACCTATATTGAAGTTCATAATATATCTAATTTACATTTACCAATTAATTCAAATATATATTATTTAAATATTAATTAGTAAAAATAATTTTATAAGAAAATACATCAAAATTTCTAATTGTAGTTTTTTTTTATGTTGAAAAAATAAATATGAAGAGTGGATTTCTATAATAAAATTTACTCAAAGTTTTAAAATATTCAAGGAATGAAATGGAAACAGAAATTTTGTACATTGCATAAATATTGCTTTTAAAGTTAATAAACGGTAACTTTAAAACTATTTTATATAACTGTTTTTTTTAAATAAAAAAAAAAACTGTTTTATATTGTTAATAGTTAAGTTATTTAAATTGACTAAAGATAATAAAATTCAAGAAAAATTGTAGTGCTGACACGTGTCGTTTTATATATCTTCTACTATTATATGACTCTGAGAAAAGAAATTCCTGTGTTTAGGTCCCTACTAAGCAGAATTCATATACTATGCAAAGGCTCTTTGAAGACTTTTTCAAAAGTTTTTAGCAAAAAAAGCAAAAACAATTCTCAACGCCCTTACGAGGTAGTGATGAGTTAAACTACTTGTGTTGGCATGGAAGTCAGCCCGGTAAACTGATTCCATTCTGCTACTAGGGTTCCAAACCTTCCCCTGGGCTCTAGAATCTAGAAATACCTTTTCAACTCAAGAAATGCTAAAGCTATTTAGAGTTGGTATTTCTAACTAAGTCGGAAGGAGGGTTTTGGGCAAAGAGCAACTCTCAAGTACTTTACTTCAGTCCCAGTACTGAAAGACGTGACTTCAGGAGTGGATTTCGGAAGGAAAGACTTCGTTTACTAACTAGTATACGTATTCACGCGATGCGCGAATAATATAAAAGAAAATAATTGTGTTATATATTATGTTCAAACATATATTATACATTTGTCTATATGAAAAAATTATTTAAATTAGTATTTCTCAACGTTATGTCTTGAAGAGGACTCGAATCTCTACACTCTTAAATGAGTGACACAGTTTCATTAACGAGTTACTCTTGCATAGTTATTATGGCGATTAGCATAGCAAGTTTCTCAGCACTTCTCAACACATATTGAATACTTGAATGGTATGTTTGTAATTTTCATGTCCATACAACAACAAAATATTTTTTTCATTGATGACCATAATGCTATGTTGCCCGAAAATTATGAAAAAAAATCAAATATGACATAAATTTTATCATAAAATATAAATTTGGTAAGAGCATCAAATGTTATATGAATTATTTATGTAGAATTAAATAAGTAATGAATACGAAATGCTAAAATATAATAATTAGATAGATTGTCTCAAAATGTATATTTTAGTCGTGTTATATATATTAGGATAGAAGAACCAAATAAAAAGATATGGCTCAATTTTAACTATTATTATTATAGACGTACTTTAAAAATGAAGGAACAATAGAAAAACAATAATGTTAATTACCTTGCTTTTGAAGGGAATCTAATAATAAATACTATGTTATCATGTGGTTTTAAAATTTGAGTAGTGTATAATTATTTTGGTAATAGTCTGCAGTCTGCACATATTTAGTACTTTCATCATCATCATCATTAGTAATTCATTTTTTATTTTTTTTCGTTTAACTTTGGCCTATAATATTGTATTCCGTTTTTTCTTTTAAAACTAAAAATATTTTTAAAAGTTTATCATTTACAATTTTATCACTTATATAATCAGTTGGCATTTGTTTTTAAAAGTATAAATCAAAGATGACCGCTAAATGTGATTAGTTTTCTTAATTAATGGGTGTATGATTTTTTTTAGTCGCCATTTTATGAATTTAATTTTAATTTCAAAATGAGTATTTCAAAACTTGAATTTAATTTAGTTTTAATTTCAAAATGAATGTTTCAAAATTTGAACTGAAATAAAATTGTAAGCGCAAAGTAACTTTTAAAATAAATTTTTATTTTTTAGTTTTAATAATAATGTTGTTTTCTTATAGTGTTGACACTCGATAATATATAGATAATCCTTTTAAATGGAATGAAAAAAAAAAAAATTGTATTTGGTTGCTACAAATAAGGTCCCCCTCCCCCCCCTCTCTATCTGTGTACAATATACGAAGTGCAAAAATTGTATTGGGACGTTCTTTAATTTTCTTTTCTTACCTACATTAAATAATACTATTTATATTTTAAAATTAAATTAAAAATATTTTTTCTCAGTTTAAAATTAATTTAAATAATATATAGGTTTTTTAAAATTAAATTAAAAAATAATGTGTGTATGCGCGTGCGTGTGTGCGTGCGTGGGTGGGTGGGTGTGTGTTTCAAATTTAAAATAAACTTCAACAATCGTAGACTAACAAACTATATTATTTCTATTCAACTGTAAATTATTTTTTAAAACAAATTACAAATTTCATGTAAAACATTTGCATTTCTTTTAGAAAAACCATGACTTATAGCGAATTATGGGTGAGACAAAAATTTTTTTTCTGTTTTCATGTGGAAGTTATCAGTTTTTATTCTAAATATTTAAAAATATATTTTGAGTATATTTAAAAAATTAATTTAAGGAGTAAATAGATAATCAACTATGATTAAAAAGTTAGTGATTGAAATTTGAGATATTTTTTAAAACAAATATAAAAAAAATAAATGAATATATATATATATATATATATACTAGAGATAAGTCAAATGTATCAAAATATTCTTTAATCTTGTGATCTTAAACATGTCACGTGCAAAATAGGAATTACCAAGTTGCTAAAAAGGAAATGAGCCACTCTTTTTTCAAATGGCTTAAAAAGGAAAGTAGGTCAAACAATAGAGATATTTTTAGACAAAATTATTAAGGCGAAATGGTTTGATAGATCCTTGTATTTGTATGCGTTTGTATTCTGAACCCTTTTACTCTATACTTTATCAACTGGATCCTTAAGCTTATTAAAACACGATATTTGAAACCCCTCTGACCATTGACCGAATCTATGTGACATAAATATTGTTGAGTTGGAAAAATGTGTGACTACACTCGCTTTCAGGCGCGTAAATACACTATATTTTATCTAAAAATATTATATTTTTTATAAAAAAACTTATTTCTTCATTAACTCACTCCCACCCCACCCTACTCCAATTTCTCTTCTTCTTCAACACTCTTTCCATCTCTAACCAGTGAAATTAAAAGCGCGCTTAAGCGCAAAAGCGAGGCGCTAATGCACTCTGCCGCTTCGCATGACCTCAGGCGAGGCTCATGCTAGTGGGCCCTTCTATTTTTTTATTTTTTTTAAAACATCAGTTTAAATTTTTAAAAAGGGGTCCTTTTAAATTATTATAAAGAGTATGTCTCAGTTCCCTATACTGCAATTAATGGGAAGTCACAGAGTTTCTAAAAAAAAAAGAAGAAGAAGATGAAGAATTATAAGAAGACAAGAGGACTTGAAGGCTTGAAGCACAGAAAAAAACAATCAGATTTGATTCTTCTTCCGCTGGCTGCTGGCTGCTGGCAGAACAAGCAGCAAGCAAATATAGCCTATAGGTATCTTCTTTCTCTTATTTCTTCTTACTTTTTTACTGATTTCATCAATTGATGCTGAACATTCAATAGTTCATACTTCTTTTTATCTTTGTAGAAAATTTAAAACTAGATGGAAATATGGGACACTTGTCCTTGTTTAATGACTTATGGTGTCTTTAATTTAATAATGATCAATGAAAATTTAACACATGTAATAGGATAAGAACAAAGCTAATTTTCTTAGAAGTCATATTGGTGGACAGGTGGACCCCATATATATGTAGTTGTTGACTTGTTGTATTTCATTATTTGCTTAGTTATAATTGCATGCAAAGTTCTTTATACAATTTTTTTTTGTTTCAGCTTAAAAATAACAAAGAATCTGTGTCCCTTTTTTTTGTTTTTGTTGTGTATTATTATTTATTATTTAGAAATTATTACTGCTATATTATAACTTTTTTTTTTTTTCAGAAGTAGAAATGGCAGAGGACTTGTCTAAAGGCAATAGAAGGGATCCTGGTTGGAAATATAACTACTTGAAGGACCCCGATGACACTACAAGAGTCACGTGCAATTTTTGTGGAAAAACAACCACGGGTGGAATTAATAGGGCAAAACAACATTTGATTGGAAATTTTAGGAATGCAGCGAAGTGTAAAAAATGCCCAGAGGAGGTTAGAGAGGAACTGAAAAATTACATGGAGGAGAAAAAAATAAGAAAGGAAGTCTATACTAACGAGTTTCCCGAATTTGATGAGTTTGAATATCAAGACAATGTTGGTGGAGAAGATGAAGTCCAAGAGATCAATCATAAGAAAAGAGGCAGAGGAAGCTTTCCTAGTGGCTCTAATAAGAAACTGGCCAAAGGAAAGGGATCTATGGATATGTTTCTACAAAAAGCGTGGAACACTTAGGCAAACAAATATCAAAGACTCGTGTGATAAAGAAGCAAGAGCAATGACGATTCAAAAAGTAGCTCGCTTCTTTTATGATAATGGGATCCCATTCAATGTAGCTCGCTCAAAAAGTTTTAAGGAAGCAATTGAGGCTGTAGGAAGGTATGGTCCAAACTTGAAGCCTCCAAGCTACCATGAATTAAGAGTTCCATTACTTAGGAAGGAAGTTGAGTTGACCAATGAGATTATAAACAGACATAGAGAAGAATGGGTGAAGTATGGAACTTCCATTATGGCAGATGGTTGGACAGATAAAAAACAGAGAACTTTGATAAACTTTTTGGTGAATTCTCCACATGGAACAGTGTTCATTGAGTCGATAGATGCTTCCTCACTTGTTAAGACCGGAGAGAAGTTATGTGAATTGCTAGATAGATATGTGGAACGCGTTGGAGAACAGAATGTGGTTCAAATTGTAAGTGATAATGGTAGCAACTTTGTGTTGGCTGGTAAGAATTTATTGCTTTAAAAATCTAAGTTTTATGTTTTACTTTCTAATATCGATCAAAGTTTTGATTTCTAAATTTTAACATATCTATTTACCCTTTTTTTCTATAGGTCAACTGTTACAGAGAAAAAGACCACACATATTTTGGACGCCATGTGCAGCTCATTGTATAGATCTTATGTTAGAAGACATAGGGAAGATTCCTATCATCAAGAAGACCCTCCAAAAAGCAATTGCCCTTGTCGGTTTCATTTATGGACACTCAGGAGTCTTAAATATGATGAGAGATTTCACTAAAAATAAAGAGTTGGTGAAATGTGGAATTACTCGATTTGCAATGAGTTTTCTGACTTTGCAACGGTTGCATTGTCAAAAAACAAATCTGCGAGCAATGTTTACATCTGACAAATGGGTGATTAGTAGGTGGGCTAAGTTACCAAGGGGGAAAAGTGCACCACATATTGTCTTGACGGCAACATTCTGGAGTCAGGTTTCTAATATTTTGAAGATAATGGGGCCTCTTGTTAAAGTGTTGCGATTAGCTGATAATGAGAAAAAACCTGCCATGGGGTACATTTATGAAGCCGTGGATAGAGCTAAGGAGGCTATTGCAAAGGCATTTGAAGGGAATGCTGCAAAATATAAAGATATCTTTAAGATTATTGATGAAAGATGGCAATGCCAATTGCATCATCCATTACATGCTGCTGGACATTATTTAAATCCAGAGTTCTTCTTTCAAAATCCAGGTATTGAGAATTGTCAAGAAGTAACAGATGGGTTGTATGCTTGTATTGAAAAATTGGTTCCAAGCACTGAAGTACAAGACAAGATCATATCAGAGATACCATTGTACACAAGAGCTGAACAACAATTTGGCCTTCCTATTGCAAAAAGAGCTAGAACGAAAAGATCTCCTGGTAAGTGAATACAATAACATAAAAATTATTAATTATTTAGTTTATGTTTAAAAGTTTACTTAATACTTCTTACTTAGGTAATAACTTATACATAATGATGTCTACATAACACTTTTTACAGTTGAATGGTGGAATTTATATGGTAATTCAGCTCCCAATCTCCAAAAATTAGCCATTAGAATTTTGGGTTTAACAGCTAGTTCTGCTGGATGTGAGCGTAACTGGAGTGTGTTTGAGCATGTAAGTACTAAGTGCTCGTAGTGGTATACATCATATTTATTAATTTTTCTTTACATAGTTAATCAATTAGACTAATTTACTAACACTAACCAATGCAACAGATCCATACCAAAAAAAGAAACAGATTGGAGCATCAAAGATTGAATGATCTAGTGTTTGTTAAGTATAATCGTGCTTTAAAAGCTCGTTATGACTTGCGGAGTGTCATTGATCCAATCTCGTTGGATAACATTGATCATAGTAATGAATGGTTGGTTGGGAAGATGGGTATTAATATGGAAGCAGAAGATGAATTGGTGTTTGGTGATGACAACTTAACTTGGGGTGATGTTTCAAGAGCGTCGGGCAGTGAGGATGTGTTGGCATACACAAGGCGACAAAAGAGACAGTCGGAAGTTATTACAACTAATGCCTCAAGTTCCTGAGCTCCACGTGTTGACATAGAAGATGAGGTTGATTCAGATGAGTCAGGGGAAGAAGAGATTGAAGGCTATAAATCTAGTGATACTGATACCAATGAGAATCACCCTATTGAGGAAGATGATATGGAAGAATATTATTCTAGTGATTAGAAAGAAGTAGAATATATAAGCAACATATGTTTTGATAAACCAATCTTCATTATAAGCACTATATATTTACTATTTTTGTGTCTATTATGTTCTATAGTATATATATATATATATATATATTAAAAAATCTTCATAGTGCGCTTTTTTTTAGTGAAGCCCACGCTTTTAGTGCGCTTTGCGCTTTAAGCTCTATCAAGGCTTTAGCGCTTTTTTGCGCTTTTCGCTTTTGACAACACTGTCTCTAACCCTAAATTTTTTTCTATTCTTCTTCAACAAAATCACCCATCATACCTATTCTTTTCTTTTCTTCGAAATCACCCGTCATACACTTTCTTTTTCTTCTTCAATCCACTCTCTTCTTTGCAACAAATCAAAAACCCGCCATTAATTTCCTTTTTCAACCTCGATTTTTCTAAATTCTTAGTCTTTTTTATTTTAAAAGTTGAAACCATTGTTTGTGTTAGTTAGATTCAAAGAGGAAGTATGATATGCATTAATGTAAAGGGTAATGGTGGGTACTGAAAAATGTTGAAAACTCCATTGATAAGCTTGAAGAACAACAAATGGGTCTTATGAATTTGTGAAATTAATTCAAATTCGTGATTGAGGGTCGTTGGATTTGAGTTAGTGAACTTGAAGTTGAAATTTCAAGTCAAATAAAGAATAATTTCATCTATTTGACATGAATTGGTGCTCAAATTGTAAACATACATGAAGATTGAAGAACGTGACTATTTAAAAAAAAATCAAAATTTACAAAAGTTAAATATTTGATTTTTTATTTAAGAAATAAATGTTAAATATGAACTTTACCACAAATTTGACTCTAGGAGCGGAAAGAAGCGACTTTTGCCGTCAACCTCAACTGAACCCTAATATTTGCCGAAAATGGCCAATCAGGCCACTAGTCGGCCTGCTCTTATGGCTGATCAGTCACCCCTCACTACCACTGACAACACTTTTCCTCCATTACCACAAAAGACCCCTATCGAGCCTATTTTGCCTAGCGTTTCTTTGCCTGCCAAAGAAACCCCATCACCTTTGGGACCTTATGTCAACCTTCTGAAACCTTTAACGATTAATGCTCCAAAGACATAAAGTAAGCAATCAATTGAACCTATTCCTATTAAAAAGTTGAACTACGTCAATGGTATTCCTCGAGTTATATGGACTGAGGAGGAAGTGGATCGAATAAATGTAATTGAAGAGTTACAATATGCAATAATAGGGAAATTTTCCTATGGATGGCCTGACTTGGAGGATCTTCGCATCCAAATCCCTAAACAACTCAAAGTGAAAGGAGATTGCAGGATTGGTTTCTTGAGAAATCGTCACATTCTTATGAGATTCAACTTGATTGAAGAATTCGTTAATATTGTGTCCAAGAGCGTCTACTATATCAATGATAAGGATAGTTATTCCTATCAAATGAGACCCCTAATTTATGATGCTAAATTCAAGATTGAAGAGGAAACATCTCAAGCAATGGCATGGATCTCTTTCCTTGACCTCAAGCCAACTTTCTTTGTGAAAGAGTCACTATTTTCACTCATATATGCAGTATGAAAACCAATTCATTTGGATTTGGCAACGGTAAAACAAGACCTAGTTGTGCTAAGGTCAAGGTGCAAGTGGACCTTTTGGCTGATTTACCTAAGTGTGTGGAGATGGAGATTGTTAATTCCACCACAAAGGAATCAAGGGTTGAACAGGTGAAAATTAAGTATGATTTTTTGCCAAAATATTGCAAGAAGTGCATGTTACAAGGTCATTGTGTGAAAAAATGTAGGATACTTCATCCAGAACTTAAACAGGTGCAACTAGAAAATGAGGAAAAAGATGTTAATGATCATAATGGAAAAGTGGAGACCACCACATCAAGGGAACAAGCAGGGAGAAACACTTATCAAAGACATCAATGGAACCCAACCAACAGAAGGTTCATTAACAAGGGTTACCTTAGTGAAAAAGCTATATTACCAGATAATGTGATTACAAATGATAACCCCTTTGAAGTACTTACAGAAGAAAGGGATGATCACATGCCTGTTAATAATGCAAATATTACTTCAATGTCTGAAGCACAAGGATCAATAAGCAAGGGGAAATATTTGAGAATCAAATGTCCACCAAAGAATGGATATCCAGATCATTCCATAGCCATGAAAAAGGAGAAGCAAACAACACTACCAGCAAGCAGCACAAGCAATACTGTAGATGAAAATCAAAGAAAATCAGAGGTAAACAATGGAGGAAAAAAAACAAATAGCAAAAGAACATAGTAATGATTCCATCCTTACATCTCCTGCCGACTCGGGGGGTCAACAAAGCCCTGCAAACAATCAGCAAAGTGGACAACACACCCGTCAGAAACAAGCAAGCAGTACATGTGATCCTGCAGATCAACAACAATTGGTGGAAAATACAGGAGGAAAACAACCAACAACAGAAGAATACGAGTTGGGTGGTGAACAACTAAAGAGCATTGCAAATAATCAGCAAAGTGGTGAGAATTTCCATTAGATACATGCAACAAAAATTATAACTACTAATGCACAAGTTGGGGAGATGAAGGAATGGAGGACACAAGACAATAACAATGCTACAGGGGATAATGCACTAGTAATAGTGGAAATCCCTTTAGCTGTTGAAGAAACACTTCCTTGGAGTGAATCTCCAAATAAAGTGCTACATAATATCCTAACATATAATGTTCAAGAGGATGTGGAGGTTTGTGGTTTGTTGGAAGCAGTAGAAGAGGACAACATTACTGACCAGCATGAAGAACAAATACATAAAGATGTTTTTTTGTCCCCAAGAGTTATTAAAAATCTTAACTATGCAAGAAAGGGGAAAACACAAGGAAATGGAGAGGTTCCTCAACCTATTAGATTGCAACCCAAGAGAGGAGGAGGGTCTCAACCAATGAAGAAATGATGAAAGCATTTATATGGAATATTAGATATGTTAAGTCACAAAAGGCAATACAGAGAGTACAGATGTTGAACAAATACCATAAATTTTCTTTCATAGCACTTCTTGAACCTTTTCAACACACTAGGCACATAAACAGATACAGAAGCAGACTACAGATGCCTTTAATGTTTCACAACTGTAATGGTAAAATTTGGTTGTTTGTGAACCATAGTTTTACAGCTACTTTGATTAGTGATACTGAGCAGCAGTTATCCCTGAGTTTGTGCAGCCAGACACTTGGTATTTCTTTCTTGGTGCCTATTGTTTATGCAAAGTGTGATAAAAATCTGAGGATGGTGGGACGATATTCTTTCTCTGTCCAATGGCATCAGCAGGCCCTGGATCTTAGGAAGAGATTTCAATGTTGTTTTGAATGGTGCAGAAAAGATAGGAGGGATCCCAGTGGTTGCTGCTGATGTTGAAGATTTCAATAATTGTGTTGAAGCCTGTGATGTTTTGAAAATTCAAGATAAGGGTAGCCCATTTACTTGGTGGAATGGTAGAGCAGGTGATGATTGCATCTTCGAAAGGCTTGATAGAGTTTTTTCGAACTTTGAGTTTCAGGGATTGTATTCTCATTTAGAAGTGGAACATCTGACTAGAGATGGCTCAGATCATGCCCCCCTGCTACTTAGCTGTGAGAACAGAAATAGCAGGCTCCAAAGGCCATTCAAATTCTTAAAGTTTTGGATAGAGCATGAAAATTTCAAAGAAATGGTTAGGAGGGGTTGGGATTCAAGCTTTACAAATAACCATTTTCTTGACTATAAAAGGAAGATCAAGCAGGTGAAAAAGGCTCTCACTATATGGAGTAGACAGACATATAAGGATATCTTTCAACAACTACTCATCAGGGAAGAGATAGCCAAACTGAAAGAGAAACTATTTGAAGAGTTCCCCTCACAGGATAATAGAGCAGTCATGCAAAGAGCTAAAGCTGAGTACACCAGATATCTACATTTGGAGGAAAGCTACTGGCAACAGAATGCTAGATATGATTGGTTTGAAAGTGGAGATAGAAACACTAAGTTTTTCCACAGCATAGTGAAAGGGCGAAGAAACAGATTGAAGGTGACAAGAATTCTTAATGAGCAGGGTTGTTGGGTAGAGGAAGAAGACCAAATTGTTAATGAAGCAATAGACTATTATCAGAAACAATTTACTCAAGAGAGGGATGCATCTGATTTTCCACTATTGCATCACATTCCAGAACTAGTTACAGAGGAAGACAATGCAGTTTTAGGGGCAATACCAGATGAATCAGAAATAAGGAAGGCAATTTTCAGCTTAAATGGTGACAATGCTTGTGGTCCAGATGGATTATCAGAAAGGTTTTTTCACTCTTGCTGGGATATAGTAGGTGTTGATGTGGGTAGAATGGTGGAAGAGTTCTTTGCAGGAAACACCCTCCCTTAGTCTATTACTCATACTAATCTAGTACTCATCCCGAAAAAAGACAATGTGCAGTCTTTTTCAGACCTGAGGCCTATTAGCTTGAGTAACTTTGTTAATAAGATTTTATCAAGAATTGTACATGATAGATTGGAGAATATTCTTCCCAAATTGATTTCTCTAACCAATCTGGTTTTGTCAAAGGGAGAAATATCATTGAGAATGTGCTCTTAACACAGGAATTTGTTACCGATATAGGGAAAAGAGGAAAACCTTCTAATGTAATCTTGAAGCTGGATATGGCTAAGGCCTATGACCGAGTATCTTGGTTTTTTTTTAATGCAGGTTCTTAGAAAGATGGGTTTCTCTAATGGGGTAGTAGATGTGATTTGGAGATTGATATCTAATAATTACTACTCTGTTCTGTTAAATGGCCAATCCGTTGGTTTTTTTCATTCTACTAGGGGGATTAAACAAGGGGATCC